AACAAGTTGCACGTGTAAATAGGGGCAACCTTGAACGCTGGCATCCTGGAAATGAAAATATGGCGAATGCTGTCCAAGGATTACATTGATATTTGGTTGGCCCATAATTTGGTTGGTCCATCTCATTAGGTGTGCTTTACCAAAATTGTGTGATATGCGGATGAAAAAAAAGTGAAGTCAGGGGGTATTGAACCATGTACCTTGTGATTCCGAATGATGTACCAAACCGCTGAGGTATTCCCCGCTTGTGAAGACATAATACAATTATGTGAAATATGTCATAATTGTTTTTACATTCACATATCTACGATGCAATGAAGAATTCTTAGGAAACATCTTGAGAATTCTTAAGCATGATGTGGCGCGTAACACAAATGGCATGTACATTATCAGAGGACATCTCAAACAGTTGAAGTGTGCGATGCAATGGAAGGAACTGCAGAACACTCTTGAAATACATTGGGATGACGAATTCTTATGATGAAGAATTCTTATACATTCTGAAGTATTCTTAAGAAGGGTTTGAAACCTCGTACGAGGCGGAAATTATCAGCATTTTAGTTTTGTTGGAGGCCATGGCGGCATCCAGAAAGGGTCCTGTACATTGTATCCATGCAGACACGAGTTTGCGATGGGTATAGCGGTGGATGCAAATTACGAACTCTTAAGAAGTGAGGGAGACTTCTTCGGGGTTTCGGGGTTTCTGTTTCAAAGATATGTACATCTCTCTATTTCCAGATATCGTAATGAAACGTTGATTGCAGAAACTGCTTCCTTGCAATTTCTGCTATGGACGTACCTGTTCGTCCGAGCGGAGTGCAAGGAGGCGTACTATAAACTCTTCGATGTTACATCAAGTATGTACACCACCTTTTTCAACACAGACCTCGTCCCTGCAATTGCGTCAATTGACCACACCTGGTACATCATGGCTGCGTTGACCTCGAAGTGGCCAGCTATCCGCACCATATCGTGCTATATCCATTTGAAGCGCAACGTGCGGCGCCACAAGCACATTCGAAATAGGTTTGTGCACATGAGCTGCGGGTCTTGACCAGTGTGGTACTCCAACACACCATTCCCAGGGTGCTGGTGTCCGATCAAATCGCGACGGATATGAGTCCAGGGCTTTGGGCAGCCTGCCCCATTTCAACAGAAGTCCTCGAGAAGGCGTTGACGTTCCAATCCTCAATCAATCACCTCATCGACTCGACAAACACACACGTACTGTTCAACAGCACAACACACTTCGGTCGCAAAATAAGTCGTAGTCGCGCAGAAAGGTCTCGTACAATTCGTAGAATGGAATTGTCTTATGTTTGTGTTAGGTTTATCAACTCTATTGATGGTGAGAATGTGGTCAGATCAACCGAAAAGTCCATCAAAGATGTCCTCCTAAGTCTTCATGCGGTTGCTGTTAACACCGACGTCCATATTCGCGACGACATGCTCGCGCTGACACCATTCAGCTTCGACGAGGTAGTCTATTGCGCCAAATGAGATATAATAAATGTGTCAATAGTGCGGCGCTACGCGCCTGAAACATTCTTGCGATTGTGCAGGACACTACTCAAGTGGCTGGCTTTGCTCGCACACAGTGGCGTACTTGGCAATTATCGATGGTTTCAACATCGATGCAAGACTGCGGACATTGCCGCAGCGAAAACAGAACGGAAGGCCGCGACATCCACAAGGTGGTCTGTCAGTTGAGACTCGAGATGAATTTTTCTCGCAAGAAAACCTATTGAAGCGTATATCGAAGTTGCCGTTAAGCATTGTTGGCTACAAGTGCTGCAAGGACTTCAAAGTGTGTGAAGATCAAGATAACAGCTCAAGAGTGTGGAGCCTCCACACTGCCATCGGCGTTGTGGTGTCGCACCTTCCACAGAAGAAGCGTTGGACAGCACAATTCGAAGTCAATGGTGAACGCGAAAACGTTTGCTACGACGGCGTCAAAGTTTCAAGTGCGATTCATGCTGTATTCATCGGAGGCGTTGACGTGACAGGCGGGGTTGACTTAGATGTGTAGTGCTTGACCACATTCATTATAATAGATATAAACATATATGCATGTCTTGTCCGTACATTACTCAGCGGTGGGGAAAACCCGAAACCAGTATTGGCCGAAATAGAGGTGGTCATGACTGTTCGGATAATTGACGCCAATCATGTAGCGCGTCCGAGAGATAACAAGGCGACGAATACATGTACGGTACTGGTCCCACCTCTGAGTACATCACTCAGCGGTGAGGCCAGGCGAAGAATGAGTGAATTTAGACCAGTATTGGCCGAGATAGAGTGGTTAGATGGCGGCGATGATGTAGCGCGTCCGAGAGATAACAAGGCGACGAATACATGTACGGTACTGGTCCCACCTCTGAGTACATCACTCAGCGGTGAGGCCAGGCGAAGAATGAGTGAATTTAGACCAGTATTGGCCGAGATAGAGTGGTTAGATGGCGGCGATGATGTAGCGCGTCCGAGAGATGACGAGGCGACGAATTCATGTACGGTACTGGCCCCACCTCTGAGTACATCACTCAGCGGTGGGGCCAGGCGAAGAATGAGTGAATTTGGACCAGTATTGGCCGAGATAGAGCGATTAGATGTCGGCGATGATCGCCGACAGACGCAAGATTGTATTAGCTGTCAAAATTGTTAAGTAAAATAGCTTATGCATGTCAAAATATTTACACGCGCAAGTCCCCCGATTCCGTAAAGTTGTTATTGAGAAAACACGCGTGATTCCCCCACTTTTCATAACAGGAGTAAAACCCCCAAAAAGCACGCGTGAAAACACTTTTCCCACGCAATACTAGTACAGTACTACGTAGTACAACGCAAATGAATCGACACTCAGTTCGTCGAGTGCTGTACTACGTAGTACTACCGGTAGGTGACCTACATGTTTCACTAGTTTAAGGCTGTATCAAACACTGAACGAGATTCTGCATGGTTATCAGCTCGCATGAGTTGAAGGAGTTCGATAAGTATAGCGTTTGTAGTTCATAGCCTTGACGGCCGCCCAATTCACGAACAATTAGACGGTGGTGTTTTCGCTCCCGTCGTTATCCGGACAGGAACCTCTTGCGGAGGCCGAATTAAATTGCAAACTGAGCTCTCTTACTACGAATTACTCTTAGTACTCTGGCGTACTTTTTTTGGCCCATTTTAAGTCTAATCATTTGGTCCAATGAAATTGCACCAACAATGCACATCTGTCAACCGCACGACGTATGGCGGCTTGCTGCACATAATGGAGACTAACGGCCTTACCGATCATGAGACCATGAGCCGACCTCTAAAAAGGCTCACAGGTATTTCTACAGCGCCATGCAGAACACTTACCCCTAAAGGGAGTGTCCGAGGGTTATCTCGAGTTCCGCGGCCATTTTTTTCACTTGGCGAGAAACGATGGGGGTGTCTTCATAGAGGGAGCGCACGGGCTCCAATGAGGCTTCATCTTTATTGAGGCCAAGCCAGTAGACGAGGGCTTGGTATTCGCCGCTTTATTCACGGACATCACCGAGCTTGGCCACGCGGAACCCTTCATTGTCAAAAGCAATATGGTCGACCAGCTCTTCGGTCACATCGCAGCCGCCTTCGCAATACATCTTGAGTCGGCAGGCGTGGTGGAGGGACAAGTCGTAAGGCTACACCAACTGCTGGGTCTCCATGACATAGTCTGTCACGACCCAGACGATCTTGCTTGGGCCGCACAGTGCAGGGACAGCTTGTGGCCTTGGCGGGACACTTGGCCAACGTGAACAAAGCCGCCGATCGCAAGCTGGACAGCCTTGGACTTGGTTAGGTGGTCGCGGGCTTGGCGTCGCTTCTTGGCGCTTGTCGCAGCCATTTCGCGATGCAGCTGTTCCATTGCTTGATGCAGCTCGTCCATGTGCATCTTGCGCGTGGAGTTGAGCCAGTCGAAGGCAGTGACTTCCTTGGTGGCGGTGTTGACAAACGTCTTGACGGCGTGGGGATCAGTCGGTTGACTACTTCAACGGTTCCATTCGCCCAAGGAAAGTAGGCGGTTGTGAAGTGGTGGTGGGTGCCGGGTGCCTTGAGGATTTTGTTGATGATAATTTATTCTTAAAATGGGAGCCGCTGTCGGAGACCCAGGTACCCAAGGTCGTGAACCAGTTGAGGAGGCCGTTGGCCGTCGTCGCGGCGTCGCTTGTCTCGCTGGGCCAAAGTTTCACGATCCCGCTCATGTCGTCCTTGATGACGAGGATCTTCTGCCAGCGGTTCGTCGCTGTGGGCATGGAGAGCCAGTCGAATCGGATCAGTTCTTGGGCTTCTTGGCATGGTGCGCCGATCCAAGCGGGCGTGGGACAACTGAGCCGTAGACGCTGAGGCAGTGGATGCAGGCTGAGTTAGTGGATGCAGGCTTGGTCTTGACATCGGCTTCGAGGGTGCTTCAGGCGAAGCCATCACGGACGGCCTTAGTCGTGGCTTCGATTCGTCGATGGCCCGCGGCGCCTTGGTGCGCTATGATGCAGACCCGCTGCTGGAGGTCCGTGGCACTTGGTGGGATCCAGATGCGGTCTTCCTTGTCGAGGAACAGGTTCTTATCTTCATTCCACGCCACGCCGGTTGGCGGGGTCTCTCCCGTCTTCACAACCACTTATTGGGTCTTGCCAATGCCGGCAGAACTGGGCCAATCGAAGTCGGGCTGCTATAGGGGCGACACCATGGCCAGGAGGCACCGGACGGACTTCGTTGACACTTGGGCTTGGGCGGCGTCCCAGCGGCTGAGCAGGTCGTCCCACATATTGTCTTCACCGGACAGGTACCCGATGGTGTAAGGGAACGAGGACAGCACCAGACCCAGCGCTCCAACTTGTGGGCTTGATATCTTGCCATGCTTGGGGACTGGCCGCCAAGTTTGAAAATATATCGCAGGTTCTTGTGGTCGGTGAAGCGAGCTGGGCGGATGAGAATGTAGTCCACCGCTTGCAGCTTTCCACAACGGCAAACGCTTCCTTATCCACGATTGGCCAACGCTCGCTTGCGCCAGTAAAGGCGCCGCTGAGAAAGGCCAACGGGTGGTGGCGCTGCTCTTCCAACGGCAGGACCAGGTCTTCGAATGGTACTTGAGTGGCGATCGCGCCCCAAAAGCTGTCACTTGCGTCGGTGTAAAGGCAGACCATCATGTCTACCCGTGGGTGAGCCATGGAAACCATCGTCAAGAGAGATTCCTTGATCTTGTCGAAGCAGGGCAGATGGCCAACGTCCCAGCCAACGACACTGAGTTAGACGCGGGTGAGCTTCGTCTTCTTCGAACTTCCAATTTACTTGGTCGCTGCATCGAGGAGTTGGCGGAGCGGCACCACAAGCTCGGTGTAGCAGGGGATGCTGGACCGCATCCAGTTGATCGCGCACACGAACTGTTGGAGGTCGGCTGTCGTGGTGGGTGGCGCGAGTGCACACAGTCCTTGGATTCTTGTGAGGGAGTGCAGGCTAGGAATCTCTTGAACAGTAGGTTGGCAAACATGACATGAAGTCCACCGCCGACTGATAGAATACCACCGCGTCTGTCTGGCCAATAAGCACTCTTGTGGGCGTGTACACTCCAAAGGGGGTCATGAAGGAGTAGTACATTTGGGAGTCTTCATGGAGCGCCAGCTGCCAGTAGCCCTTGAACCAGTCGAGGGAGAAAAATACCCTCGCGCAAAATACTACTCCTTCATGACCCCCTTTGGAGTGTACACGCCCACAAGAGTGCTTATTGGCCAGACAGACGCGGTGGTATTCTATCAGTCGGCGGTGGACTTCATGTCATGGTCTATTTTAAGTCTAATCATTTCGTCCAATGAAAATGCCACAACAATGAACCTCTTTCAACGCTGAAGCCGTCATGCTCTTTTACTCCTTCCGTCCCACAATACTTGCGTAGATCAGAAAAAAGCTGTACGGCTCCTTGAATAAAATGAAAAACTCTGCAAAACATTATACTTTGCATCAACTTCTAGAGTTGTAACGATACAAGTGGCCAATGAAAACATTGGATCCAAGTGTCTCAGAGCCAATCAAACGACGAGATATGGAAAATCTGACAGTTCCAATCGATTCCGGAGGGGGGTTTACCTCAGGAACCCTCCTACCGAGCCCACCTGCAACATGCACCGGTATGCTTTACTCGTCATTATCTAAGCTGATTGGATCTATTCCAACTTCAGCCATCAACTCATCCACCGTTTCGTCGTCACATAGGGCAATGCGCTCGAGCTCCTGGGCCAGCTCATGCATGCTCCGGGCCTCGTCCAGTTCCTCTTGGAACTTCTTCTCCATTACGGTGCAGTCGACGGAATCCACTGAGCGCTTGACACTGTCGTAGGTATCCGAAGGGCATCGAAAGTTTTCAGACAGGAGCCCCAGCCGTGCTTGCTTCTCCTTGGACAGGTGAGGCACCTTGTACGCGTTGTCGCCAAAACACTTCATCGTTTCGACAAGGCACGCTTGGAGAGTCATGAACGTCCGGTCCAAACGCTCGAACGGGTACTTGTCGAATGCTGCATGGACATTGGTGATGAGGTCGTCCACAGTTCGGGCTGACGTGCAATGCTGGAGGGACTGGATGGCGGCAAAGAATCCAAGGCCTAGGATGTTCATGTCGGGTGAGTTGGGTGGTTGCGGCTTGATCGCGAACGTCCAACCAGATGTACTGTAGCTGGCGACGGCTGCCAAGAGCTTCGCGTCGTCTGGCGTCACATGTGCGCGCGAATTTGTCGTGCTGCAGGTGGACAAGTCGCTTGGGGCATTGCCACTTGGACACGATCGCCGGTAAGACCTTTTCCACCAGGAACGCGCGGTATACGTCCTTGGTCACGGTCAATGCCTTGGTTTCATAGGTCCCTGCAGCTCGGTTGGCACTGTTGCGCTGGGCTTGGACGGACTCAACGAACGGCCAAGTTCCAATCTTGCCGTCCCACCATGTACCCGTAGCGTCAGGTCGGGCCACGGCGCTGAGAAACATAATTTTGGAAATAAACCTCTTTGACTTGCACATCCGTTGAGGTTCCTTCGCGCCAGGAACCAGATAGTACCGTCTTGTTGTCTTGGTGATGTAGAACCATTTCTCGTCCAAATGGACGTAGTCCATCATGTCGTCGAACTCCATGTTCGCCCGAACGAAGTTGAATGCAAACTTCATGCGGCTGTACTTGTTGGCATCGGTCAAGCTGGGACGGATAGCATTCGAGTGCGAACGAAAGATCCCGAGCTTGAGATACCGGTGCAGGGAACCACGGCTTATTCCTACGACCATTTTGACTAATTGTATAGTATTGTCGTTGACGTACAGGGATCTACGGAACTTAAGGCCTATCGAAGTTGCACGGTAGTTATACCCAATCAAATAATTTCTTGTGATACGATGCCTGTGATTGGTCAAATTTTTAATCTCCCGCCAAACTTGCAATTCAAAAAAATACTGACCCCACTTTGCGGGGCAATCAAAATGACACGCATCACGTACCCCATCGCGTTCAAGCTCGAAGCTTTGAAACTCCTTGAGACCTTGTCCGACTACAAAGTAGCTGTGCTCCTTAACGTCGCTCGCAGGACTCTCCGCAACTGGCAAAAGCAGCGCAACGAGCTCCTTGCCTACAAAGGAAAACAAGAAGCGCCTGAAGGTGCGTCCAGGAGGCTGACCCGAACAGTTCCCGGACCCGCCAGGCCTAGTCCAATACATCAACGACTTGCGTGACGCTGAGCGTGCGCTGACGACAATGCACATTATCAACTGGATCAAACGAAACCAACGAACGTGGCTGCTAGACTACCTGTCCACCAAAGCCGCAGGGTCCGGCTACAAGGCCTTTCTCCAACTTCTCCGCCGGTTTTTTCTACGCCACGGATTCTCCCGACAACGCCCAACGAAGAGCAAAAAGACACAGGGAGACCTGCGAGCTGCGCGACGAGTTTGCGCTGGAGTTCCACCGGTCGCACAGCGCCCACAGCAAGGAGTGCACGTACAACGTTGACGAAACGGGTTTCTATTACGATATGCCTCCCCACTACATCTGGGCCGTGCGCGGCGGCAGCTCCAAGATCTCCGCGGGAGAGAAGCACTCCATGCGAATGACGGCGGTGCTCACAGCACGTACGGACGGTACCAAGCTGCCTATTATGTTCATCATGAAGGGACAGCCCGGCGGACGCATCGAAACAAACGAGGTGCCTACCTTCCCCGAAGGACACTTCTACGCCGTCCACGAGAAGGCCTGGATGCACGGGTGTGGAAGCAGTTCTTGCGGTCGGTGCTGCACGACATCGAAGAGTGCTCCGTCATCCTAGTCGACAACTTTGAGGCCCATGTGTCGGAGGAGTCGACCAAGATTGTGCAAGAAGAGCTCACCTGTGTGCCATGCCACCGAATGCGACGTCTGTGTGCTAGCCCTTGGACGTGGGTGTCATTGCGCCCTTCAAGCGTCACGTACGTGAGTTGTGGCTGTATGAGGAGATGATTGACAGTGACGACGAGGATCCCGACTCACTGACTGCAAAGCAGAAGCGCCTAGCCATGATCAAGCGTGCGATTTGGTGACGCCCGAAATCGTCCGCGGCAGCTTCGAGAAAGCGCTTGCTTGTGGGCCAACGACTGGAGAATAAGGGATTAAAAAAATGCAGGACAATGTTTTTCATTATTATATATGTTTTGTATGATTTTTTTTATTTGTGCTTGAATTTTTTTATTTCTT